TCATTCCCAAAGGAGTTTTTAAAGATTTATTATTTATTACATATACAGTGTTATGCCTACATACCAGGAGAGGGCACCAGATTGAATTGTAGATGGTTGTGAGCCACCGTGTGGTTCCTGGGAATTGAACTCAGGACCTCTGGAAGAGCAGCCAGTGCTCTTAACCTCTGAGCCATCTCTCCAGCCCTGGAGCTAAGGCTCTTAATCTCATCATCACCCTCACTTTAAGAATGAGAAAGGAAGCGTGGTGATGGTGGCACACGCCTTTAATCCCAGCACTCGGGAGGCAGAGGCAGGCAGATCTCTGTGAGTTCAAGACCAGCCTGGTCTACAGAGTGAGTTCCAGGACAGCCTCCAAAGCCAGAGAAACCCTGTCTCAGAAAAAAAAAAAAAAAAAAAGGAGAAAGGGACAAGGACTAAGTCCTAGAAAAACTTCTCTCACCGTCTACAAAATCCAGTGACTCAAAGCATGCCACTCTCCAAAACATCTGGCCACCAGTACTCACTACACTGAGGATGATGGAACAATATGGCTTTGCTTTTCACTTTTTCTTTTTTTCTGATTTATGTATATTTTTCTTTTATGTGCATTGGTGTCTTGCCTGCATTTACGTCTGTATGAGGGTGTTAGATGACTCTAATGTCTGCATAACAGACAGTTGTGAACAGCTGGGAATCGAACCCAGCTCCTCTGGAAAAGCAGCCAGCGCTGTTAACCAATGAGTCATCTCTCCAGCCCCCTGCTTTGATTTTTTTTTAATGTGGAAAAAAAAATCTAGGAAATTATGCCAATATTGTAGCTTGTTTTCTCATTTAAAAAAATATGCCTTCAACAACAGGCAGTGGTGGTGCCCACCATTTCAGCACTTGGGAAAAGAAGGTGGATTTCTGAGTTTTGAGGTCAGCCTGGTCTACAAAGTGAGCTCCAGGACAGCTAGGACTGTTACACAGAAAAACCCTATATCAAAAAAAAAAAAAAACAAACAGGTGTTGGTGGCGCACGCCTTTAATCCCAGCACTCGGGAGGCAGAGGCAGGCGGATCTCTGTGAGTTCAAGACCAGCCTGGACTACCAAGCGAGTTCCAGGACAGCCTCCAAAGCCACAGAGAAACCCTGTCTCGAAAAACCGAAACAAAAACAAAAAAACATAGTGAAAAGACAGACCGTAACATGAAAAATACAAACCCCTTCGGAAAGTAGGTTTGAAGACAGTCACCCACAGGAGACCAGAGTGTCTCCCTTTCTAGCAAGGCTATCCCAGTAAAAAGGGAAAGACTGACTGTCTCATGGAGACGCTATGCACACATGATCCTGCCCTCAAGAAGCAGAGGCAGGAGAAATGAGAGTTCTGTGTCAGCTACTGACAGACACCCCCCCCCCCTGTCTCTAAAGGAGCAAAGTAGCACCTCCACAAAGAGCCTAAACCCTGAAAATAACGATGATAATGAGGGGTCCTTGTGGTAATTAAAAGCAGCAGCTGTCGTTTCTTGAGCTCCGTGTGCTAGGCACTGCGGAGCTAAAGCTAAGTAGGCTGTGTGGAATCCCCTTCAGCCCACGTGAGGGTGGTGGCCTTCTTATTGTGAACGTCAAAATGATGATACTCAGAGCTAAGCCCTAAGTGAGACACATGCAACCCCTCGTGGATCTGATGGAGGGGTTTAGTGCTTGACCTCTAAAACCCAAGGCCAAAGCAAGCTAGGTTTCACATCAAGAGGATGGGAAGATGAGTAAATCCTGAGCCCCGCATGGCCCAGGTGTGTTGACTAATCTGGAAGAAAGTGACCATTGGGCCATAGCACACAAGTGCGCCATGCCTCAGCCACCCCGAGGGCTCCTTCCTGCCCTTCCACAGAGCCTGTGGGAAGGGACAGTGGCTTCTGAATTCTCTGCTGTCAGCAATGTGTGCGGCTATGTCGGAAAGACATTTGGTTCTTCACTAATGAGTCCTGGATAGACTTGAAATGGGAAAGCAATTAATAAAAGTCTAAAACCTTAGGCGTCAAAGCCCATATAGGACAAAGAAAACTTTCAAGCTCCTCTGAGCTCCCAAAGACAGCCCGACAGGGAAGGGTAAACAATGAACTGGGTATGTGACTAGAGGCCTGAAGCCAGACAGCACACCCCAGCTGTGCCAACATCTCTCTGTCCTAAAGAAAACCATACAGCCATCAACTTACGCTTGTAAAAAATCTCTGGCCAAAGAGATCATCAACAAACTTATTTTCCCTACAATATCCTGCTCAGTTGCATCCTGCCCAAACATACAGCAACCTTTTTTGTCCTACGTAACCACAGAAGCTCTGTAATCTCCAGACTTTAGTCTTGTGGATATTCCCTTCAACGCCCCCCCCCCTTAGCTGTAATCTGCATTCCACAGGTGGCAGAATCCTTGCCACAGCTTGCCAATGAAGAAACCTTTGCTTTTGCATTCGGTGAGTCGTCTCCTTGGTGGTGGTCTTTTTGGGGTCCCATGAACTGGGCATAACAGACTTGGCTCTTAGAAGAGGAAATGGGGACCCAAACTACTATGGAGAAGGGCTTAGCAGGAATAGGGGGCTGGCAGGAAGAAGTTGGACATGTGTTGGTGGCCGAAACGGCTCTCTGGAGAAATACGGCTGAAGGCAGGGGGTTCTGGATGTACTTTTAGGCCGCCGATATAACCCTCTTGTTCACTGTAAATATGTATTGTTCTCATTGGTTAATAAAGAGCCAACTTGCTGATGGCTGGGCAGGATTTTGGGGGCAGAGAGGACACTGGGAAGGAGAAGGGCAGAGTCTCAACAGTCTCAAGGAGATGCAGTTGAAACGAGATGAGCATGTCATCCCGAGATGAGTATACCAAGCCATGTGTGGTGGAACATAGATAAAATAGCGTTGACTTAATTTGTAAGAGCGAGTTAGTAACAAGCCTAAGCTATCAGCAGAGCATTTATAATTAATAGTAATAAGTCTCGATGTGGTTGTTTGGGAGCAGCTGGCAGGTCAGAGCTGACTGGTGGTCCTGAGGAAACCCCACCTGTCGTCCCTGTCTCTTCCTGGCTTCTTCTCTGTCTTCCTACTCAGTCTTCTCCTCGTCTCCTGGCCCCGCCTATCTTCCCACCTCTACTGGGGAACCAGTGCTTTATTGATTAGCCAATAAGAGAAAGGTATTTACAGAAGGACATCCCCCATCAGCCAGGTGTGGGAGAAGGAGCAGGCCTTACCACCGGATGCTTTAAGAGCTCTCTGGTGGGGATGAAGAGATGGCTTAGTGGCCTGTTGCTCTTACAGAAGACCCCAGGTTCATTTCCCAGGACCCATATGGTCGCTCGCAACCACCCATAACTCCAGTTCCAAGGGATCCAACTCCCTCTTCTGACCTCTGAAGTTATGTGGGCTGTGCTTGTATTAGTCAGAGTTCTCTAGAGTAACTGAACTTAGAGAGCGAATGTGTGTGTGTGTGTGTGTGTGTGTGTGTGTGTGTGCTAAAAAAAGTTAAAGGCAGAAAAACATGACTGAAAGCATCTGGGGCCAGGCATGCTGGTGCATACCTGTAATCCCAGCACTCTGGAGACAGAGGCAGCTGGATCTCTGTGAGTTCGAGGATAGTCTGGTCAATATAGTGAGTTCTAGACAGATGAACTGAAGTTATATATGTGAGTCCTTGTCAAAGAAAAGCAAAAATAAGTGAGAGAAGAAGAAGAAGAAGAAGAAGAAGAAGAAGAAGAAGAAGAAGAAGAAGAAGAAGAAGAAGAAGAAGAAGAAGGAGAAGAAGAAGGAGAAGAAGGAGAAGGAGAAGAAGGAGAAGAAGAAAGAAGGAAAGAAAGAATGAAGCATTTGGCATCACTGTGAGGAGGAAGCACTTGACATCTGAACAACACTCAACTATTCTGGATGTGCCCGTGCCTTGACCTGTGTCCCAGAGCGAAGCCACAGAGTCAAACTCAACCCCCTGCGAGCAGCCCTGACCGAAGGATCCAGGCTCACTGCAGCCTCAGCTGGTCTAGAGCAGACAAACGGATGAATGAGCGTGGGAATAGATGCTTGCTGATAGAAACCATGAGTCTTAGGGTGGCTCATCAAATTACACACTATGTAGCATTCGCCCACTGATACCTGGAAGAGTGCCAGGAGGCCGCTGGAAGAGGAAAACATAGCCCCTCTTATTCAAGCCACTCCAAAACAATCTAAGTGAGAAACAATGAGTGAATGCGCAAAAACCTTTCTTTAGCGATGACCTTGTAACACACTACCGGCAGAAGCTATGCAGCCGTTACACAGACGGATGCTAGGCTATACACAGCTCCACCACAGCATTCCCTAATGCTAGCAGCTTGGGTTTGATCACACCACCAAAGGAAGAAGGGAAGGGAAGGGAAGGGAAGGGAAGGGAAGGGAAGGGAAGGGAAGGGAAGGGAAGGGAAGGGAAGGGAAGGGATGGGAGGGAAGGGAGGGAGAGAAGGAGGTAATGGGAGGGAGAGGGAGGGAGGAAGGGAGGTAACAGGAGGGAGGGGAGGGGAGGGAGGGAGAGGGAAGAGGGGAGGGGAGGAAGAAGAGCAAGCTAAGAGCATGGAGGAGAGCTGATGAACACCTAGGAGGCCTCCCATGGTCTCTGAGTCCAGAGAGGGTGTCTAACAGGCGCAGCTGTCCGTCTAGCGTGAATGGATGACATGCTCTGAGTCCTGCCTGCCAGGGTGGCGGCAGTGGACTTGGGAAAATGCCTGAACAACAGCCTGAGTGTGAGTCAGGAGCTGGAGAGGAGAGCATGGGGCCTTGGCTTTGCACGCCCTCAGCATCCCCCAGGGAAGGAGGAGCTACTTTTAGCCTGGTGCTGTTTCAGGGCATGGCCTTAGCGTGAAACAGGACCTGCCCGTCCTCATCAATGCCAGCTTTGACTGGGGGCTGGCTAAGCCATGAGCCAGGCAGCTCAAATCCCCACCTGCACAAAGCAGGTGTCCAAACTCTCCTGGCCCTGGCCACCTGGGCGGAGCTTGCTCAGGGGACCAAGAAAACTGTGTTACCTTGACTCTGAGCTCCACTGTGCCGAGCTGCAGGCTTCCAAGCGGGACCCAGAGGGTTCTTTGAGCAGGAGACATTGACGCTGGTGTCGCCTCTGCTTTGTTCTGAAGGACAGCTCTGTGTTTTTGTCAGCTGTTCTGAGGTCTTCTTCTTCTTGGGTCTGCCCTGCCAAACCAGGAGAGCAGGAGGTTCTCAGATCTCAGCTTGAAGGGCTGAAGATAGGGCTGGAGAGATGACTCAGTGGTTAAGAGCCTGGCTGACCTTCCAGAGGACCCGAGTTCAGCTCCCAGCATCTACAAGGTAGCCAGCAACAGTCTGTGCATCCAATCCCGGGGGAGCTGCCTCCCTCTGCTGGTTAAGAGCACCGGCTGCTCTTCTGGAGGACCTGAGTTGAATTCCCAGCCCAGCCTTCTATAGTGAGATCTAGTGCCCTCTTCTGGTGTGCAGACAGAACACTGTATACGTAATAAATCAATAAATCTTAATAAAAAGACCCAAGTTTGACCCCAGCACCCATATAAAAATACTGGTTCATAGCATCATCATTTGTTGAGCTCTAGGCCAATGAGAAATGCCATCTCAGGGGATCTGGATGGCTCCAGAGGGATAACATCCAAGACTGTCCTCTGTCACACACACACACACACACACACATACACACACACACACACACACACACACACACACACGTAAAGACGGAAGATGCCTCCAATCTCAGTACTCTGGAGAAACACGTGTAAGGAAGGGGCCACACATTCAAGGCAGGAGTGTGCCACATAGCGTGTCCCAGGCCAACTAGATCATCCTTAAACAGACAGATATTTAAAAAACAAACAAACAGGGGCTGGAGAGATAGCTCAGAGGTTGAGAGCACCGGCTGCTCTTCCAGAGGTCCTGAGTTCAGTTCCCAGCAACCACACGGTGGCTCAAAACCATCTACAATTCAATCCGGTGCCCTCTTCTGGCAGAACACTGTGTGTGTAATAAATAAATAAATAAATAAATCAGACACAGAATAAACAAGAATGGAAAGCTTTCTTCCAGCTTACAAGCGGTGCTCAGAGACGGTCCTTCCCTGGTCTCTGGCAGCTGCTTTTTTTTTTTCTTTTTTCTTTTTTTTTTAACAAACCCTAAGAGTGGTTTCTTCCTTTCGACGGGGGCACGTCCATCCACAGGGCCCCAGCAGTAACTGGGGCTCGGGAACAACTAGAGCATGTGCTGGAGATGTGATCTCTCCATTCCAATGGCTCATTCCCGTGAACAACGGACACTGACCAAGGAGACTCCCAGGCTGCAATCCTAACTGTTCTCTCCCTGTCTCCTAGTCAAAGTAGGCCAATCTATTGTGTATTCTCATCTGGTCCCTGAAGATGCTGATCACACCTACCTAAGAGCAAAAGTGAAGATTCAGTTAAGTAGTGGCTGTGAATGATCGGTCTGGGTGGTGAGTACTCAAAAAACATTAGCGCTGGTGTGAAAGCCATCACTCTGTCAAGTCTGTTCCCAGGACACAGGCCAAGCATAGCCTGTGACCCAGTAAGTCTCTTCATAGTCCATCTTATAAAATCATTCAACCAAGGGCTGGTGCCCAGCTGGGCAGTGATTCCAGCACTAGGGAGGCAGAGGCAGGCGGATCCCTGAGTTTGAGGCCAGCCTGGTCTACAGAGTGAGTTCCAGGGCAGCCAGGGCTTCACAGAGAAACCCTGGGGAAACCCAAAACCAAACAAACAAACAAAATAAAAAACAAGGAGGGATGGCACTGTAGCTTGGTGGTAAAACCCTACTAGGGGCAAAGTTTGCTCTCCAACACTACAAGTCCCGGGGTGGAAGGAATTGTAAGAAAACAAGCAATGTGGGATATAAGGGTATTGTTTGCCAGCTAATTATGACAGCTTTATGGGGGATGTCCTTCTGAATATATGCTTCTCTTATTGGTTGATGAATAAAACACTGTTTGACCAGTATAGGAGATAAGGAGAATTCTGGGAAAGTTAGGCAGAGAGCGACAGCAAGAGACACCATGTAGCCAAGGAAGAAGTAGCAGGTTTGGACCCTTCTCCGCTAAGATAATACATAGATTAATACAAATGGGTTAATAATTAAGACCGAGCTAGCCAGTAAGAAGCCCTAGCCACCGGCCACCAGTTTCATAATTAATATAGCATCTGTGTGTTCATTTGGGGCTAAGGGTGGCAGGGACCAGGCAGGACAAGGAACTCCGGCAACAAGAGATGATAAAAGAAGCTGGGGTGGAAGGTAAGGAGGGAATACTAAGAAGCTGGGTGGTGCTGCGGGCCGTGTATAACCTAGAAAGCAAAGAGGGTCACATGTCCCAAGCCTTCCTGAGCTGCAGAGCAAGTGTCTTAGGGAAATCTTGCTTCAAAATATCTCCAAGGCTTGAGATCTGGGTAGCACTGCAGCAGCAGGTGCCTCCCCAGCATGCACTGCAGCAGCTGGGAGCCTCCCCAGCATGCACTGCAGCAGAGAGTGCCTCCCCAGCATGCACTGCAGCAGAGGGTGCCTCACCAGCATGCATTGCAGCAGCTGGGTGCCTCCCCAGCATGCACTGCAGCAGAGAGTGCCTCCCCAGCATGCACTGCAGCAGCAGGTGCCTCCCCAGCATGCACTGCAGCAGAGGGTGCCTCCCCAGCATGCACTGCAGCAGAGGGTACCTTCCCAGCATGCACTGCAGCAGCAGGTGCCTCCCCAGCATGCACTGCAGCAGCAGGTGCCTTCCCAGCATGCACAGCAGCAGCAGGTGCCTCCCCAGCATGCACTGCAGCAGAGGGTGCCTCCCCAGCATGCACTGCAGCAGAGGGTGCCTCCCCAGCATGCACTGCAGCAACAGGTGCCTCCCCAGCATGCACTGCAGCAACAGGTGCCTCCCCAGCATGCACTGCAGCAACAGGTGCCTCCCCAGCATGCACTGCAGCAACAGGTGCCTCCCCAGCATGCACTGCAGCAGCTGGGTGCCTCCCCAGCATGCATTGCAGCAGAGGGTGCCTCCCCAGCATGCACTGCAGCAGCTGGGTGCCTCTCCAGTATGCATTGCAGCAGAGGGTGCCTCCCCAGCATGCACTGCAGCAGCTGGGTGCCTTCCCAGCATGCACTGCTGCAGCAGGTGCCTTCCCAGCATGCACAGCAGCAGCAGGTGCCTCCCCAGCATGCACTGCAGCAGAGGGTGCCTTCCCAGCATGCACTGCAGCAGAGGGTGCCTCCCCAGCATGCACTGCAGCAGAGGGTACCTCCCCAGCATGCATTGCAGCAGAGGGTGCCTCCCCAGCATGCACTGCAGCAGCTGGGTGCCTCTCCAGCATGCATTGCAGCAGAGGGTGCCTCCCCAGCATGCACTGCTGCAGCTGGGTGCCTTCCCAGCATGCACTGCTGCAGCAGGTGCCTTCCCAGCATGCACAGCAGCAGCAGGTGCCTCCCCAGCATGCACTGCAGCAGAGGGTACCTTCCCAGCATGCACTGCAGCAGAGGGTGCCTCCCCAGCATGCACTGCAGCAGAGGGTACCTTCCCAGCATGCACTGCAGCAGCAGGTGCCTCCCCAGCATGCACTGCAGCAGCAGGTGCCTCCCCAGCATGCACTGCAGCAGCTGGGTGCCTCCCCAGCATGCACTGCAGCAGCAGGTGCCTTCCCAGCATGCACTGCTGCAGCAGGTGCCTTCCCAGCATGCACAGCAGCAGCAGGTGCCTCCCCAGCATGCACTGCAGCAGAGGGTGCCTTCCCAGCATGCACTGCAGCAGCAGGTGCCTCCCCAGCATGCACTGCAGCAGAGGGTACCTTCCCAGCATGCACTGCAGCAGCAGGTGCCTCCCCAGCATGCACTGCAGCAGCAGGTGCCTCCCCAGCATGCACTGCAGCAGCTGGGAGCCGACCCAGCATGCACTGCAGCAGAGGGTGCCTCCCCAGCATACACTGCAAAGCCCTCTGTTTCCTTTGGGTACCATACACAATCACAGAGGCAAGAAAATGAAGAGTTATGGACTCTCTTTACAGATCACAAATCAGATAAATCAACAGCAGTAACAACTGTAGAGAAGCTGAGACCATTAGGGTGAAAGTTCCACCCAAGATGTTATGGTGGAGGTTCCACCCCAGCCCCTGGCATCCACATACCCAAAGAGTCTGGGATGTTATGGTGGAGGTTCTACCCCAGCCTCCTTCCCTATCTCTCTCCAAACCCTGCTGCATCCCAGGAAGCCCGCCAAATGATGGCCCCTTCCCCAGAGATGCTCAAAACCTCTCCCACAGGGTATTTAAACTGCCCCCCCCCCAGAGAACAGACTCGTGGTTTTTCTGGTTTCTCTTTCTCATATCCTCTTTGTGGGGCTGGAAGGCCATCTGGAAGCCTTGAATCCATTAAACATGGGTTGGGTTTTTTTTGTTGTTGTTTTTTGTTTTTTGTTTTTTTTTCTAATTCGATTTGATTTGGTCTGCTTTGGATTGCTGCATCAGGAGAGAGGCTTATCTGGGTATAGAAACTTTTCAAGACCGTTGTACAGTTTTGGTGGGAACATAGCCACTACAGCCACCTGGGAGACAGCTTGGTAACTGTTTTGTTTTGTTGTTTGTTTGTTTGTTTTGAGACAGATTCTCATTATATAGCCCAGGCTGTCCTAAAGCAAACTATGTAGACCAGATACACCTCGAACTCATGGAGCACATGCCAGCTCACCTAGCCCTCAGTGTTTTATTTAGAAAAGTTAAAACAGCTACCCTGTGATTGGGCATTTTCAGGCCAGGTATCAGAGGAAGGGGAACAGATGTGGAAATTTACCAGATAGTCACAGAAAGATAAATGCTCCTGGTAGCAGCAGTCACAATGGCTAAAATTTGGAAAAGATTCACAGTCTATCACCTGTGACTAGATAAGATACATTCGATAATCTGTACAAATAGGATCTCGTTCAGTGCAGAAAAAGGCAAACTAAGGGTACCTAGCCTAGTAAAAAGGTTTTTTAAAGACATTTGCTAGCTGGGCAGTGTGATGTACACAGTCAGAAAACCGAGGCTGGAAGTTTATGGTCTTGATAACAGCCTGGGCTACATGGAGAAGTGCTGTCCTAAAAAAATACCACCCCGCCGGGCGTTGGTGGCGCACGCCTTTAATCCCAGCACTTGGGAGCAGAGACAGGCGGATCTCTGTCAATTCGAGACCAGCCTGGACTACCAAGCGAGTTCCAGGACAGCCTCCAAAGCCACAGAGAAACCCTGTCTGGAAAAACCAAAAAAAAAAAAAAAAAAAACCACCCCAAACCAAAACATTGTGCTAGGTGAAAAAAGGCCATACACTAATTCTAGAAAATACAAAACGATAAGTCAGGGAGCAGAACAATTTGGGGAATGATGGATTTTGGCTGGGCAGTAGTGGTGCACGCCTTTAATCCCAGCACTCCGGAGGCAGAGGCAGGTGAATCTCAGTGAGTTTCAGTCCAGCCTGATCTACTGAGTGAGTTCTAGAACAGCCAGGACTACACAGAGAAACCCTGATTCAAAAAACCAAAACCAAAACCAAAACAACAAAGATTTTGCAGTAACATGAATAGGTCACATAATATGCTACCTGAAAGGACTAAAAGTTAAGACAAACCACTTAAGTGTTTAAAATACATATATAGGAGTTGGGCATGCAGCTCAGCGGAAGAGGGCACGCTTAGACTCTCGCAATAGCAATCAGTAAGTAAGTAAATCAATTACAGAGCCCATAAAGGTTTACAACCACGGATGGGTGAGTAATAAAAACTACCGTGTCAGGGGCTGAAGAGATAGCTCAGCAGTGCAGAGGGCTGGCTGCTCGTGCAGAGGAAAGAGTTCGTTCAAGTGTTAGCACCCATGTGTTTGTTAGACCACAACCACGTATGACTTCTGCTGCATGGGATCTGATGCCCTCTTCTGACCTCTGTAGGTACTGCACACACGTGAGCACACACACACACACACACACACACACACACACACACACTTAAAAAAAAGTGCCATGTCAGTAAAAGAAGATTGTTTTTCCTTTCTTCCTTCCTTTTTTTTTTTTTTGCAAATCATATTCTCTGATAATTAGATAGATAAAAGTCTGGAGCAGACTCCCTGCTGTCTTTAGTTTTGAGGGGCCTGGGGAGAGCACAATGGCATCTCCGAGCTCCTTGCTGGAGAGCTTTACAGACATCAACTCATTAATCCTTGGCAATCCTTGAAGCAGTCAGAGAACGGCCATGCCTCTCCTGTCTTGCTTGCTCTGGGTCACTTAGAGATGGTTAAGTTTAAATTAATGATAAAGATTTAAGGTACAGTCAGATCTATTGTGAATAGTCAGTCACACATTGATACTCGGGGCGGGGCTTAGATCGTAAGCACTTCCTCTCTCCCTCCCCCACTGTTTTCTTAGTCACCCTGAGCTAAACCTAGGGGACTCAGGTTACCCAGGCCTCCACACAAATAATGCCGCTGCCTCTGCGGGCTGGAATGTGGGGGTCTCCATCGGGCTCTCCTTAAGTTGTCTGGACAGCACAAACGAACGCTTGGGTACCGTTTTTTATCCATCCGCTTCACCTGGCTTTGGGTGGGGTCAACTCCTTCTCCATCATATTAGCGGTGAGGTTCTGTGTCACTGAACAAAATGATTCCCGGATAACAAAGGATGTCCTTGTCACAAAGGAATTTCACTGCATGAATTGTCCCCTGAGGAAAGTGCTCCATCCGTCCTGTCCTTTGTCGTCAAGGGCGTTGTCCTGCAGTCTCCAGGCCTGGCGCTGTTTAGAACCTTCACCTAATTCCTTTCCCTTCTCTCTGGGCACTTAACTCCCCCATTTTCTGTGAGCTGCGATACCGGCTCTTTTTGATCTGCGTGGTGAAAGTGTCTTTGGCTGCGGCACATGCTGTGAGTTTTACCGAGGCTGCATAAGAAACACCACAGACAGGGTGGCTTGACAACGCGTTTGTTTTTTCATCCCTGTTCTGAAGCCTGAAAGTGCGTGGTTGAGTTGCTACCAGATTGATTTCTTTCTGTGGTTACCATGGACGCGGACATCTACATACAAACAATAGTGTGGGCGGGGCGCAATTCGGCCCCCAGCAGTGATGGTAGAGGTGAGTAGACTCCCATTTCTGAGGACTTTCTATGTACAGGACATGCAGCGTTCCAGCATCTGTCCCTTAGCCTTCTGGAAGCTGCTGGGCAGTGGTGGCGCACGCCTTTAATCCCAGCACTCAGGAGGCAGAGGTAGGCGGATCTCTGTGAGTTCGAGGCCAGCCTGGTCTACAGAGCGAGTTCCAGGACAGCCTCCAAAACAATACAGAGGAAACCCCCGTCGTGGAAAACAACAACAACAAAAAAACTTCGGAAAGCCTGCAACTAAGATCTGTACTTGTCATATTTGAGTAATAGATAAAGGAACCGAGGCTGAAGGAAGCGGAGTTACCTCCTAAGGTCACAGACATATGGCGGAGCAGAAATGGGTGTTGCTACCAGAATCACACACTGAAGGGATGTGCTCCCCTCTAAAGTAGGTGTCTCACAGAGACTGACGGGGCTAACGAACATGCCGTGGGTCAAGCTCTGACTCAGACAGAGTTTGTGAAACTTACAAAATCCTGCACAGAGAGAGAGAGAGAGAGAGAGAGAGAGAGAGAGAGAGAGAGAGAGAGAGAGAGAGAGAGAGAGAGAGAGCGCACACTGTCCTGACACCAAGACACTAAGATGACAGGGTCAGAAGGGATTTGATGAAGCTGAAGCTGGAAACTTTAAAAGACAGAAAGCTGAGATCATGCAGTCAGGAACCTGAGAGGCTTGGATAAACCACCTTGCTCAAACTCATTGTTTCCCGGACGAGGAAAGAGAGGCGGAGCGAGAGCAGCCATGCACACGGTTAATCATGCAGCCTTGTTCTTGGTTCTGTGGCGTGAGTAGTCTAGGTCTGCCTCTTCCTTGATGCCCGTTCTAGAGCAGGCTTGTGACAGGGCAATAGAGTTGAATGCATTGCTTCAAAGTTGCCCAAACAATCCTTTTTTTCCCTTTTTGAGCTTTCTAACCGCTGTAAATCAAGCATAGAAATAAGAGGGGATTTTTTTTTCTTCCACGAACTGGCTGAGAGGTATACAGGGGAGAAGGAAAGGTAAATTTTGTAACATCCCCAACACAGCAACCACAGAAGTGACTTTCACAGAGCCCACGGCTCCCGATGCATCCAGCCAAGGCGCCAGGCCCTGCAAGTAAACCTTGGAAAGTCACCAATATTTGAAAAAAAAAAAACAACTCAGGGTGTGGTCAGGCCAGCTTTTGCAGATACTATAGCAGTGACTAGCTCAGTGACAGCATTGGAACCAACAGGCCTGCTGCATGGACAAACCAGGCAACCTTGGCCAGGTTTCACCAATTCCCAGGAATCTCCCTAAAGTCAGGTGAGGTTTGCTAAGACACAGCCTGCACAGTCACGAGTGTGACTGTGCAATATCTACTTAACTTTCTCTTTTAAGGCCAATATCCTATTTAATAGTTACAATTAATTTTAGAAAAACTGAGCCCCTTTGAAGCCATAAATTCACAGATAAAATTCACTTGGGAGAAACTAATAATTTTATTCGGAGATAATCGATTCGGGTGAAAGAAGTGAGTTAATTTAAAGGGAAAAACCAGGAGGCTCAGCAGTTGAAGGAACCTACTCTTCCCAACCAACTATAACTTTGGTTTTGAGACAGGGTTTCACTGTGCAGCCCTGGCTGTCCTGGAACTTATTATGCAGACCAGGCTAGCCTCGAACTCACAGAGATCCGCCTGCTTCTGCCTCCCGAATGCTGGGATTAAAAGTGTGCGCCACACACGGCCTTGACCATGGGACACTCTATCCCACCACATGGGCGCTGCTCTCTCCAACGGCATGGACCAGGCAATCCAGGAGTTTAGCTCCCCCCACCCTGGATCAACCACCCGTCGTGGGAACAGCTCGTGTCTGGAGAGTTTGCCGATAGACTCGCAGGCTTGGTGATGAAATGACGAATGAGAAAAGCCCCCGGTGCGAATGTTACGGCAATGTGTCACCTATCATCCCCCAGGCTTTATCTGGAAATTGGCAGATTGGACAGGGACCAGTCCACGCTTGCTCTCCGCAGCCGCCGTTCTGACATGTTTACCGTGAACAAATACGTTCTGTTTTTATAGGGTGAATAACATCCCGAAAGGCAGCTTCGCGTTTCTCATTTGCCCGGTTTGAACTGGTCCCAGATAGCCTTAGTTCAAATTATTCCCGTCTTTATTTAAAATGCCTCATTAAGTCTCAGAGCTCGCAAAGTCGTCCATTACATCATTCACAAAGCTGGAGGGTGATTTAAGGTAAGGTTAGCCGTTGAGTTTTTCCCCCGAGGGTGGTTTTCATCTTCGCACCACCCCCATCTTGAAGATTGGTATCTGGGGCCTTGGCAGCCCAGGGGCACAGCCTTCGCCCCGCCTCTCTGGTGGAATGAAGCCGTACTCTTCATTGGAAGTGGGTACCAGACCCAAACTGGGTCTGAGCTCCTTAGTGGCCCATGGGTTAGTCCATCAATCCGCCCTCCTACTCCTACAGAGAGGTGTGTGTGTGTGTGTGTGGTGTCTTTACCTGAAACAGCGTCAAAGGGATATTCCAGAACAAATTGGAGAGTGTAAACCCAGCCTTGGGAGGAACACCATGCTGTAAAAGTTACAGGGAGCACTATCCGCGGTCCCTTCTGGGATGCCCCCCCTCCCCCCGCCTTGGGTGTGGTTGCAAGCAAGTCTCCCTTCCCCGTGAAAGCCGTTTGGGTCAGGGGCCAGGGCAATGAGACAGCTAAGGATTTGTAGGTATTCACGCTGCTGGGTAGTGGTTGGCAGTAGAGGAACCCAAAGGAAATCGGGCTTCAAGCGCTGGGAAGGGATTTCAAGAAGGCAGGCGCTGGCTCGCCTGATTTGGGAGCCCAGCCCTCTCCTCTGCCGGTCTCCACGCTGGCTTCACACCAGGGTCCTGACTCTGGGTGGAAGGGCCAGCCCTTGGCTCGCCTTTGATCCTGGCTGGCTCTCTCTGTTCCCACGCAGGTCCATTTAGCCTCCTTCACTTCCGTCTGCCCTATCCGTTCCCATGGCCTGAGCCTCCCTTTCCACTCTGACACAACTGGAGGGCTTTAGTGCAGGTTCAGGAATTGCGTGTCACCCACTAGCAGACTGTGGCTTCGAGTCAGCCCCGCCTCCTTCTCAGGAGGGCCGCTTTCCATGAGTCGATGGGGGATCTTCTTCAAGGGGAGGCATTTTGTAGGGAGGTTCAGGTGGTGATGTGACTGTTGGGGATTCTCTTCTTTCAATGAGACCATGGCTCACTCCTGTTTCCCAAAACCTGTGAGGCAGAAGTTGGAAGATTGTGGGGTCAAAGACAGCCTAAGCAACATAGCAAGACCCTATCATAAAACAAGACTTAACAGAAAACCAGAGCTGGGCATTGGTGGCGCATGCCTTTAGTCCCAGCACTCAGGAGGCAGAGGCAGGCGGATCTCTGTGAGTTCGAGGCCAGCCTGGTCTATAGAGCGAGTTCCAGGACAGGCTCCAAAACAATACAGAGAAACCCTGTCTCGAAAAAACAAACAAACAAACAAAAAACAGAACACGGGAATAAAATGGTGGGAAATGGATTTCCAAGGCGGTTCTTGGTATTTAAGAGCGTATCCTATGTAGTGTCACCATTACGGAGTTGAAAGGCTGGAACGATGGCTCAGAGGTTAAGGGCACTTGGCTGCCCTTCCAGAGGACCCACATGTCAGCTCACAACTGTCTGTAACTCCAGTATCAGACCCCCCCCCACACACACACAGACAGACAGACGTGCAGGCAAAACACCAATACGAAAAATACGTTACTTAAAAACAAACAAAAGAAGAAGCTGAAAGTCTCCCTGGGCACGGCGGTGCATACCTCTAATCTCAGCACTTAGGAGGCAGAGACAGACCGATCTCTGTCTACATAGTGAGTTCCAGGACAGCAAGCTGCATAGTGAGACCCTGTCTGGGGGGGGGAAGAAGGTAGAACTCTAGTCTTTCTTGATCAACTGACGCTTCTGCTAAACAGGCAACACACCAGGTGCCAGAGCTTGCCCGTTCCTAATGAGGACCTGGCTCTCAAACACAGTCCATCTGAAGGGTAGAAGCCTTGGGTCCGTGTAGCTTCACACCTGAGCTTAGAGGTGCATCTCTCAGGGACTTAGCCGAGACACCCCGAAGCAGTTAGCTCTGAGGGCGGGACCTGAGTGACCATGCAGATAGATGTGGCTACTGAATAGCCATTGGGAGACAATAAACAGAAATATGGACAGAACCAGAGAAGGAGGAGCAAAGATAAATAGCGACTAAGCTATGGAGGGAAGGAAGGGTTGCAAAACCGCACTGTTGAGGAACAACAACGTAAGTGAGTCATGGCTGCGGTTTATGGCCACTGTGGCTTCTGGGAGAAAGACAGTCTTCAGAGATACTTATGTGGGGGCCACCAGAGCTCTTCCCGGAGCAGGATGGGTAGCGGCCCCCTCCTCAGCACCGTCTTGGGGAACATATGGCCTCTTCCTTAAACTCTTCGTTAGATGGCTTGCTCTCAGTGTCCTCTCCACTGCTGCCATTCTCTGAAGAGGCGACTTTGCAGGCCTGGAGAAGCCACTCACTGGTTAGGAGCGCTCGCTGCCCTCCCATAGGCCGTCAGTTTGGTTGCCGGTGACTGTACACACTGGGTGGCTCACAGCTGTCTGTAACTCCAGCTCCAGGGATCTGACACCCTTTTCTGGCCTCTACGGGGACTTTAAAAAAAAACTCACAATGTCACACACATGCATTAAAAAAAATTGTAATCTTAAAAACATACCTTTGGGCCGGGCGTTGGTGGCGCACGCCTTTAATCCCAGCACTCGGGAGGCAGAGGCAGGCGGATCTCTGTGAGTTCGAGGCCAGCCTGGTCTGCAAAGTGAGTTCCAGGACAGCCTCCAAAGCTACAGAGAAACCCTGTCTCGAAAAAACAAAAAAACAAAAAAAACATACCTTTGGAGTTTCTTTTTTTCACTTAATAAACAAAACCGCTCTGTTTGTTTGTTTGGATTAGCAGTTGCAATCTTGGACAGGGGAGGACGAATTTTCACATTAATTTCCCCCGCCCCCCCCCAAGGTTCCTGTCACAGTCACTGTTCTATTGCTGTGGAGAGACACCAGGCCCGAGGCAACTCTTATAAAGGAAGACATTTAACTGGGGCCTCGAATAGTTTCAGAGGCTTAGTCCACTATCGAGTGGCAGAGAGCATATACGTTTGGTACTGGAGAAGTGGCTAAGAGCTGCACCCTGGTCAAGAGACACCCCAGCCTGCATGAGCTTTTGAAACCTCAAAGCTCCCCTTCAGGGACACACTTCCTCTTACAAGGCCACGCCCACTCCAACAAGGTCACTGTAGGTGGCTATTCCTGTCCCAACGGCTGGCCCCCAAATCACAACACAGAGACTTTTTTGTTTTTGTTTTGTTTTCCAAGACAGGGTCTCTCTGTGTAACAGACCTGGCTGTCCTGGAACTCGCTTTGTAGATCAGGCTGATGTGGTGATAGATTGTTTATGATTTACTAAAGCTCGCCTGGAGATTCAGAAAAGCCAAGCAGCTGGCTCACTGATTCCTGCCTCTGCCTCAGGCTGAAAGGGCTGGGCTACAAGCTCTCCTCAGCATGGCTGTATTCTGAATGATCCCGTGTTCAGTGTGGCTGGAGAATGAACACCTCCTACTGAATACCGAAGACCCTGCTTCTATCTTTTATACCCTCTAGAGCTGGGATTAAACGCTTGTGGACCGTTTTCAATCTCGTGTATCCCTGGGTGGCCTTGAACTCAGAGAGATCCCTCTACCTCTTAATCCTGAGTCCTAGGGTTAAAGGCGTGTACCACCACTTCCTAGCTTCTGGCTGCTGGGATTAAAGGTGTGTGCCTGGCTTCTATGGCTTGTGGGGCTGGCTTTGCTTTTCTGAATCCCCAGGCAAGCTTTAATAAATCATAAACAATATATCCCCACAGGCTGGCCTCGAACTCACAGAGAGATCCACTATCCACCTGCCTTTGCCTCCCGAGTGCTGGGATTGAAGGCCTGCACCACCACCAGCACCACCACCACCACCACCACCACCACCACCACCACCACCACCACCACCACCACCAGGCTTAGAGACTTATCATTAACTGTGAAAGCTCAGCCAATAGCATGGGCTTGCCCTCTAGCTCTTTTTTTAAAAGTTTTTAAAAAAATTTTTATTATGTATGCATATAGTGTTCTATGCTTAGACACCAGAAGAGGGCACCAGATCTCATTACAGATGGTTGTGAGCCACCATGTGGTTGCTGGGGATTGAACTCAGGTCCTCTGGAAGAGCAGGCAGTGCTCTTAACCTCTGAGCCACCTCTCCAGCCCCACCCTCTAGCTCCTATAATTCAAATCAACCCATTTCTATCCATCTATGTGTTGCTGTGTGCCGTCCTCCTGCATGTCTTTCTCACTCTCCGTCTGGCTAGAGACTCCGCCCCTTCTTCTTCCCATCATCCTCTGTGTCTGGCTGTCCTGCCTATGCCTCCTGCCTAGCTAATGACCATTTAGCTTTTTTGTTAAACCGGTATGAATGCGCCTTGGTAAAGACACATCTCCACAGGGTACCAAAAAAAAATTATTGTACAGTAGCTCACAACCTCTTAATCCTTCTCAAACGGTGCCACTCCCTGGTGACTAAGAGTTCAAATATATGAGCATATGGGGGAGGCTGGGGGGGGTTATTCTTATTCAAGCCACCACACGCTCCACAGGACATCAGGCAGGTCATCTGCTGGGTGAGGTGCCACGCTTGGTGGCCTTCACAGAAGCGTCCCACACCTGCAGGGAGCCCTGCTCAGGAACTACGAAACTAGCCACCCCCTCATCTGACAAATTAAATAAAGCAGAGCTGCTATAGAAGTGAACTGTATGCCCTAGGAAATGCCGCTGCCCTTTGCTCTTTGCTGAGGGTGTCTTAGTGTAGCCAGGGCAAAGGAGATGAGGACCCAGTAATGTCTCTGGCACGGTGTTTGGGGGTGTTATCCGTAAGGACAGCAGGTAAAGTGCTTGTGTGTCGAGGAGGCCATCCAGAGGAAGCTGGAGAGGTCCGGTTTTGGAGTCTGATATAATAACCAGACTCTACGAAGGATCTGATTGGTTCTCATTCAACATCTTTTAGTAAAACCGAGGTCTATCAGGGGCTGGAGAGATGGCTCAGTGGCTAAGAGCAATGACTGCTTTTCCAGAGGACTTGGGTTCAATTCCCAGCACCCACATGACAGCTCACAACTATCTGTGACTCCAGTTCCAGGGGACCTGACACCCACGGCAAAATACGAATGCACATAAAATAAAAAATAAAGTATTTAAAAAACAACAAAAACAAAAACAAAAACAAAAAAACCGAGGTCTATGCCTGGCTTGGAACAGCTTAGTTTCTGAATGAATGACTCAGCTGTCTGTGCTCAGGTCTTAGCTACCAGAAATCAGGTCATAAGCCAGGTCTGGCCCTGCTACCCTCCTCTATAGTGAGTGTCAGGAGCGTGCTTGCCTTGGGTCCTGAAGGAGATTAAACCAGCCAGTGGCGTCCAGGCGGTGGTGGCGCACGCCTTTAATCCCAGCACTCGGGAGGCAGAGGCAGGCAGATCTCTGTGTGTTTGAGACCAACCTGCTCTACAAGAGCTAGTTTCAGGACATACTCCAAAGCCATAAAGAAACCCTGTCTGAAAAAAAAAGAAAACAAAAACAAAAAAAGGAGCCAGCCAGTGTCTAACCCCTGACCATGATGAGCTAAGCCAATGAGCATGGTTACAGCTCTGACTTTTTGTTTGTATTCTTTTGTTTGTTTGTTTTTTGTTTTTTTGAGACAAGGTTTCTCTGTGTAGCCCTGGCTATCACAGAACTTTGTAGACTGGGCTAGCCTTGAACTCAAGAGATCTGCCTGCCTCTCTGCCCCCAAGAGCTCGGATTAAAGGCGTGTACCATCATTACGGGGGCAGACTGTCCTGATTTTTATTATATTATTTATTACTCATGGCATTTGGGACTTCAAGTAAATTGCCGGTGAAAAACTGTCTCTGTTAAGCTGTGATGTCAGCAGCCATTGCGTCCCTAGCCCGAGTCCACAAGTGGTCAATTCTGTGTTGACGTGTCTGTTTCTTGCCAGTTGGATTGCAAGATCGTCCGATTGGCTAGAGTTAACGCTGAGCCGGAGGGTTCTTTGTGCCCGGCCATAGAGTGGGCACATAATACCCACTGGCCTGAGGGCTTCAGGAAGCGTCTAACCCCCCCCCCCAATAGGAGTGGACTGAATGCCCAGGACGGAAGAGATGAGAAGGAACAGGGCAGAGGTTTTAGAGAACGAACTTGTTGATGCAAGATAGGATAGGCAGCTTGGAAATTCTAAAAGAGTTTTGAGTTTGCCTTAGCCAGGTTCCCCGTTACATTATAATTTTCATATCTCAGACAATCTGAGATTGATTTCTCCCTGTCTTACCAGCCAGGCACACAGTACAGGGAATTTAAAATGTCATTGTAACCACACCCCTTTTCTTTTTGCTTTCGTGGCTTTTCGAGGCAATCTTCCGTAACTCAGGCTGGCCTCAAACTTATAACCTAGGATAACTTCAAACCTCTGAGCCTGTTCACCTCTCATGTCGGGTATGGGTTAAAAACCAAGGCTCTCTACAGCCCTCTGAAGGTGCTGATTGCAGGAAGTCATGCATAGTATGTGTGTACTGCAATGTACCTTATTATTCACACACACACACACACACACACACACACACACACACTACCCTAATCTCTGGTTATTTTAAACACTCCAAAAGAGAAAACTTTTTATTTACAACTACTTTCTTTAAGCATGATTAATCAGAAACAGTCCCTCAAGTCTCTTCCCTGGACAGAGTGGAATCCAGGGCCTGGCTCCTTTAGGAAAATATTACCCAGACGAATTCGGAACCCAAGCCCCAGAATAATGTTTTTAACTTTCAAAGCATGCACTTGAGCTACACTTTCCTGGGGGAAGAGATCCTTCTCTTGTACAGCAACTCTGAGACAGAGGGAACCATTTTTAAACTTCATGAGGTAAGATAGCCTCCTTCAAAGAGACAATCTCCAGCTCACCACAGAATCGTCACTTCTTTAAAAATGGAAGGGGAAAAAAAGCCAGAGGAGAAACACGACTTTTCAATTCTATTATCCCTGGTATTTTATACTGGTCTGGGGTTTCTCAAGTTTTGAGACAAAAAGCACACATTTTACTTTAGACTTTTTTTTTTAAGTTCTGAATGCCTTTGCAGTGTCTCCTGTGAGCTGTCTTCAGGGAGCTATTTATTTTGCTTCTTTACTTTGCAGACTGCTAACGGCTACCAGCCAGGGCCTAACCCAAGCCTCTTGTGCCCTGCAGTCATCACGGCTTTAGAAGAAAACCGATTCTCTGGAATGTGGTGCGTGCACATGCCTGCCCTACCAGCAGGTCCCACCTGCCGAGCAGGTAAACCAGATCCCACCGCGGCCTCTCCAGCCGCATTCCAGCCCGCCAAACTCTTCCTCACTAATAGCTACCTGTCAAACAGGTCAGCCAGGCACTTGGGGCTGGCCCAAACGTGCGCGCACGTTCCCACGAAACGCTAAACCTGCAAACCTTTGACCTTTTGCTGGTTCCTGAAACCCCTCGATTATTTTCGCCGGGGGACTGCCGGAGATCCGAAGGGGGGACTTCTAACTGGCACACGGACTCTTCTTCTCCTTCCTCATAGATGCTGGGCTGTGTGGGGTTTCTAGGCAAGCGTACCGGGGGTAATCCAAGATGGCAGGAGGGGCCCTTGGGGAGCCAGGGCTCCTGAAGTGAAACCCACTAAATCTTTCATGGCAATCACAGGCTGCCCACCCTGACAAAATGGAGAATAGATGGGAACTTGGTGAGTCAGAGGTAAAAATCACTTTCTTCTCCTTCCTGACCCTGGGCTGGCAGCCAAGACTGTGGCCCAGATCTCAGCCCCTAAACTGCTCTATGGAAGGCCTTGGGCAGGTCCCCAGGACTGTCTGGACCTCAGCTGACATCTCCAGTAATAGAAAAAAACAACAACCCTCTCACCCAGAGCTCTGTGCGGTTTTGTTACTGCTGTGGGTGTTTCGTTTTGTTTCTCTGCTGGTCAGAACACAAGGCCTCCGTGTGCTGAAGGAGAGCTCTGACAGTAAACTACACCAGCCCCTCGTCCCAAACCTGTGTCTTCTGTCTCTCTGGTGACATCCACACTAAGGAGTCACGGCACTAACACGGGAGTGTGGTGGCCTTGCACTAAACGTCCTTTAGGTATAGCATTGGGGCACCTGGATTAGCCGAGGGCTTGCGTTAAGTCACCAGGCTTTGGGGACTTCTCTTAAGCCCGGAAAAACCCTGAGCTTCCCCTCCGGGGGACATGTGGGTGGAGTTCAGTCTGTCTTAACTGTACCTTCCCTCTGTATTTCTCATCGTGATTTCTCCCTTCGTGATTTGGAAGCGACGGGGTATGTTTATTTGTTTTGGTAGCTCCGATTCCCATTTTTATTCTGTCCGTAACAGATCCAAGCCTCCTGAATCCAAACACTTTGTCTGGGGCCCAGAGAGGAGGCCTGAACTAGCTGGTGACCTCCTCAGTCACGATCTCAATTTAGGGTGGCTATCGGCGATGGGGAATCCGTAGGCTGGAGACATCATTGTCCCAGAAACGAGTGACACGGAAAGCCGTCTCCAAAGGTTGATCCAAAGATGGAGTTTGAAAATTCCGGCTTCAGAACCCAAGCCTCCCTGACCAGGTTGAGACAGCCCTGCAAAAGCTGTCAGGCCAGTATCCTGGGATCCTTCTCCCCTCGGGCAGGACAGGTTTGGCGGGGACGGAGTCACACAGAGCAGGAACCGACACTTCCTGCTTGGCCTGTCCAGCTCAGACTTGTCCACCAGAGCCAAACCTGCTGGGCTGGCTCCCAGGAGAGAAAGCTCCTCAGGGCACTCAGCCGATGGAGTAAACAGGCCCGGCGAGCATTCCCCTCCCACCAGCTCCCTTTGCTGTGCAAAGGGGATCGTGTCAGATGCCTGTCTGACGTATGCTGTGGGTGCTGGTAATCTATGGGGCTGCTTGGTGCCACAGGGCTGTAGGCGCTAAAGGGACCACTGAGGTCAGACCGGGCAACCGGCACTTCAGCTGCTTTGTGAAAACCGCCAGGGACACATAGACCGAAGTGTTGTTGCTTTAAGATAACTTTCTGTCTTTCAATGTGCCTTGGTGTCTTGCCCACATGTGTGACTAAGTGAAGGGTGTCAGATTCCCCTGGAACTAGAGTTACAGACAGTTGTGAGCTGCCATGTGGGTGCTGGGAATTGAACCCGGGTCTTCTTGAAGAGCAGCCGGTGCTCTTAACCAATGAGCCATCTCCTCGGCCTCAAGATTACCTTTTTTTTTTTTAAAGTATTTACTTAATAAACCCAATTAGTAATACAGAGAAACCCTGTCTCGAAAAACCAAAATAAATAAATAAATAAACAAACAAACAAAAAAAACCCAATTAGTATTTCCCTCTTACCGGACTGTCCACAAGTAATACATCATCTGTTTGCTTTGATCAAAACCCAATTTTATTGCTTTCCTCTGTGTTTACTCCCCCACAAATGGCTGTGGAGCACTGGGCCATGCTACCTGGGCCTTCTTAACCCACCCTTGGCTATCCACAAGGGAGAACAATTGTCCCATTTCCCCGACAGCATCTCTGTGAGGAATAGACGAAGCCAGATTCCGAGCCTTACTTGGGGCTTGCACACAGTGAACAAACCAACTGATTGGTCCATTTTTGACACTGTTGCTATAAAACAGCGGCCCATGTGACCCAGCTCCAGAATGCTATGCCATTCTGAAAACCATGGAAAAGGACCTGACTTGGATGAAGCCTTCAGTGCTGGGGCTGTAGCTCCGATGGTGGAATGCTTGCCTGGTATGTATAATGCCATGGTTCCCATCCCTAGCACCCCATAAACTGGCATAGAGGCCCACACCTGGAAGGCAGAGAGGCAGGGACGGTTAGAATTTCAAGGGTCATCTTTGTGGCATCGTGAGTTAGAGGACATCCTAAGCCACATGGGGTCCTGTCTCAAAAAGCAGGGGAGTGGTGGCCAAATTGGTCCAAGCACCACCACCCACCTTCAGTTCCTGGCTGTTTTCCTCAGGACCCCTACACCTGCCATTGGTGGTGTGGGATGAGGGGGTTGGAGCAGATTTTAGCATCAGAGGATGCAAAGCATGACTAGAAAAACAGCTGTGAAGGAAGAAGAACCTGCTTTCAGGAATTTGACCGGGTAGCCTCCCTCCACCAGCTCAGCTAACCTGTCTGGTCGCACGGCTGGCTGTAGCCACCCCTCAGCTGAGCGAGAGCCTCTTTCCACGCTCCCCTGATGCCCCCACCCTGATCCCAAGGCAGGCCTTCAGGAAAGGAAGACAGAGCCAAGCGCAGAGAAGGTGATGACTGGGTGAGCAGCTCCCCAGAGCCCCAGTGATGACTGTTCTCAGTGTCCTGGTCATTCTAAAACAGGTACAACTCGTGACGACCCAAAGCCTGGCCCGAAGCGACGGCTGCTCGATAGCCCTTTGGCCCAGGGGTCAGGAAGCCGACCCAGCAGGTTCCCCAGGGACACAAGGCCTGTTCCTGTGAGATCCATTGGGGCAGGAGTGACTGTTACCAGTCCATCCAAGGAGGCATGAATCAGCTCTGCTACGTCTCCGGTCTCTCTTGCGTATGAACTGCCTGCAACCTCCTTGCTCCAATTCTACAGAGAACACCAACGTTCAGCTTCCGAATAGACACAGTGGCTCCCCCCCCCCCAGGCTCTTAGCTGTGGTTCTGTGACCTTTGGTGGCTTTTCTCAGTATATCTCTGCAGACTCCCTGGTTTGTCCCTCTCCACTACACTCCAGGGATGGTCATCCTTCTGCTTAGAACACCCTCCCCATCCAATCCTATTTCCATTCTGAGAGTGTCTCTGCTCTCCGGCTCCTGCTCTGGGACTCCCAGCCTCTAAGCAGTATGTGGTAGGCCTGGCCTGGGGTCCATCCTGGCCATAGGTGCTATGCTTGACCACAGCAACCCTCTGGCCTGGGTTTTCTTAGTCAGCCTCTATGGTTGTCCCCAGGTTGTGGGCGTTGACCAAGCCTGATTGGCATGTGAAGAGGGCACCGTTTAGAGACAAGAAAAGACTCACCCCGTGTCGTTTAGCTCATACAAGGGTGAGCTCACCTTCTAATCAGGTGCTCTCTGTTTGTTCCAGAATTAAACAGGCCAGGCCCGGCAATCCAAAGGTTCCCTGCAGTGCAACTCCAAGCAGACCTGAGGCCGCCTCTGAGGGGCTGTGCTCTCCTAGAGAGCAGCCCTTTGTTCCACGTGGGGATGCCGTTATTACTTTTACGATATTCAAAGACACACACGTAAGGCTGCCTTCTGAAAAAGTGTCGCAATGACTGGAAAAGTTTGCACGCAATGCACTTCCCTGCTTCCCATTCAAAATTCACAGTCAGGACCAGTTTTCTGGGAGAGAGGACAGTCTGAGGACGGTCTTCCACAGGCAGACGTGTAAAGAGAGGCCTTAATGTCATGTTTGGTGTTGTCATTTTATTTTTCGAGACAGGGTTTCTCTGAGTAGCCCTGGCTATCCTGGAACTCACTTTGTAGACCAAGCTGGCCTTGAACTCACAGAGATCCGCCTGCCTCTGCTTCGGGAGTGCTGGGTTTAAAGGCTTGCGCCACTAACGCTGGGCCGAAAACCCATTTCTTATCCAAAGGTACTCCATCAGCTAGTAGAGTAGCTAGACTCTGCCTGTGTGTTGTTGTACATCCCGGAACTTACCAGAGGCTCTCCGAGACTAAGGAATTCGCAGATAGTCATTTCCCTCCTATGTTAGCCTAACCACATAGACAAGATAAAGGACATTAAAGGGCTGGCAGACCAAAGCCAGGGGCAAGTGCAGGAGGGTCAGGATGTATATGGGTCAGAGGCCGCAGGGTCGGAGGCCGTGTGTTTTGTGAAGGGCGTACAACAGAGGAGGGTCTAGCGAAATGAGCACGAACCGGAATGGGCTGGTTCTGACTGGAACACACAAACAGACCACCACGACAATGCTCACTGGCTGCGACGCTCAGCAAGACCAATACCAGAGTTCTGGGGCCTCCATCACGTACCGCACCATAAACGTGTCCCATCGTGTAAATCCCGCACCAATGCCTGACGCCACCGCCGCGTCTCAATGGGGACACTGGGACCCAGAGCAGATCATTTCATTGCCCTAACTAAACAAGTAAAACGGGGCCCGGCGGGCGTTGGTGGCACACGCCTTTAATCCCAGCACTCCGGAGGCAGAGGCAGGCGGATCTCTGTGAGTTCCAGGACAGTCACAGTGGTTTCACAGAGAAACCCTGTCTCAAAAAAACAAAACAAAACAACCCCCCCCCAAAAAATAAAATGGCCTTTCTGGTTTTGTTTTGTTTTTTGAGTCAGGGTTTCTCTGTGTAACCACTGTGACTGTCCTGGAACTTGCTCTGTAGACTCCGGTGGGCCTGGAACATAGAGAGCCGCCTGCCTCTGCTAGCCTGTCTCAAACCCCTGCCACTGCATAAGACTTATAATATGCTGAAAGGATGCTTATTCATCCCAGGTAAACTCCCACGAAGGTCCACAGGAGAATACACGATCACTGCGGGGCTCTTGTGTTGGGGACCTGGGGGCAGTGTGGGTGGATATGGGAATAACACGGAGGACTGTGCTGGTCAGTTTTTGCTAACCTAACACAAGCTAGAGCACCAGGAATGATGGGCCCTCAGTGGAGGAGTTGCTTCCCTCAAATTGGCCTGTGGGCAAATCGGTGGACCGACTTTTCTGGTAAATGATTGATGTAGGAGGGCCCAGTCCACTGTGGGCGGTGCCGTTCCGGAAAGGTGGTCCCGAGTGACCTGTGCAGCCAATAAGCAGTGTTCTCCATGGTCTGTCCTCCGGGGTCCTGTCCTGACTTCTCTCCGTGACGGACCATAACATGTAAGCAAAAGCAAGCCCTTTCTCCCCCAAGTAGGCTTTGGTCAGTGTTCCAACACAGCAACAGAGACCTTAACTAGGCCAAGGTGTAACAGCAGGGTGCACGTCACCACAGTGACATGGATGCAGAGAAAAATGAACAGTTTGCAATGGGTCCTGAATACAGCACAATAAATAAAGCCAAGACACAGGCATTTAAAAAAAAAAACACAGCAAGATACATTTACAATGTTCGCGTAGGACTGGGTTATCGTTCAGTGGTGCAAACTTAACTCAGCATTCATGAGCCCCAGGTTACACAACAACAATAACGAAAACCCAAAGCACGGAAACACGGGTTTGCACTGTCTACATTTAACAGGGCGTGAGTGGCCGTCCAGGAGGAATGCATATAAAAGAGAATGCGTGTATACAGCGAGAGAGGAACTGTGTGCCGACCAGCGCTGGGAAGCGATAAACAACTCAACTCTGAGGCAGAGAAGCCAGAGGGGAGACCCATGGCAGCCAGAAACGGTTCTATCCTGGTGCCCCAGGCTGCGGCTCCGGAGCCAGATGAGGAAGGGTGAGGTTAATGATTGACAGGTGGGTTTCTCGAGCTGCGTGGATGCACTCGGATGCTCTTTAGGCAAGAGGTTCTCACTCAGCCTTGCTGCTCATTAGAGACACCAGAGGAGATATTTTAAATATATATATATATATATATATATATATATATATATATATATATCACCACAAGTCTCACTCCAGATAGTCAGCCTAAAGTCACCTCTGGACCCAAGAAAGGTGTATTCTCAGAGCCCCCCACCGGGTGACTCTAATATGTACCTAAAATTCATAACCACTGCTTTCTTTTTCTCTAGTTGCAAATAATGCATTCTTTGAACCTTCCAAAGCCGCTGCTAAATCAGAATTTTTTCCCCTTCTGCCGAATGTCCATTTCATTATTAACAGAGAACATAAAAGATAACAAAATTCACTTAGTTACACATGTAAATCATTTGCTGGGCTGCTTGTGTGTTTAGGTTGAGCACTGTGCAGTTCTGGGGGGACTCACGAGCTGAGTGCATGCAGATTGCTCCTGTCACATTTAACGCCCTGAGTGTTCACAGTACGCAATGTTCAGGACTCGAGTACGTCGGCTGTGTAGGTGAACAAGCTGGTCACTCATCCCATGTACAACTCCCATGACAGTTCTGGGCTGGAAACTCATATCAGGGTCCCTTGTACAATCTTGGGGGAAACGGAGGGTTTGCTGCAGGATTGGGAAAAAATATTTTTGGCAGGGGGTTCAAGACAGGGTTTCTCTCTGTGGCTTTGGAGCCTGTCCTGGAACTCTCTGGAGACCAGGCTGGCCTCGAACTCACAGAGATCCTCCTGTCTCTCCAGTGCTGGGATGAAAGGTGTGCGCCACCACCGCCCTGTGGAACTGAGATTTTAGCCTGAATCTGAAGAATGAGAATTGGAGGTGGCTTGGAGGAAGAGCAGAGAACCAGGAAGACTAACTCAAAAAGAGGCAGGGAGGCCTTACCAGGCTCTCACCACTCCCAAGGAGCTGGGAGAGAGGGCAGTAGGAGAAGTCTTTGGGTTTTCCTTACTTTTCTTGTGCAGCCTTGGACTCAGGCATCTTCCGTAACTTCACCGTTGAACTTACAACCCAGCCCTATACAGGTTTTGCAACTTTTGTAATATATTTTGTAATTGTAGTTCGCTACTTTTTAATGCCACCATCTTTATGTATTGCATCGTATTCAGGACTCATTGTTAATTTTTCGCTGCAGCTATGTCACATGTCATTCTGTTACACCTTGCCCTAGTGAGGATTCTGCTGCCGTATGAAGACTCTGGCCACAGAGGCTCTGTGAGACAAGCTAACGTTGGCATTATCACATGGGGGCAGGGGAGGGGTGCCCAGCTGTCATAAGTGGAACATGAAAACTCGTTCTAACATGTGGAATGGTCTGCTAGAGGATATGCATGAGAAGGGTTTGGGGCTGCTGCGTAGACTTGGAGGCGGGGACTTGGCGGGAGCTTGGATGGGGCCAGCAGCTTGTGAGGAATGTTTGAGAGTGACCAAAGGGGAGAGTCACCTGGACCCAGCTGAGGGAGAGGGTTAGCCCTACTTAGAGGTGAGGCCACCTCGTGAGAGGAGATGGGAGGTAGGGCAGCTGGGCTTTGAACATGTGGGTTCGAATGGCCCGGTGCAACCTCGGTGGCACATTCATCCTAACCCGCTGCTTGGCTGGAATCTAGGGACCCAGAGGAAGACAGCAAAGTCAAAAAGCACCCCCCCCCCAGGAAACCGTCTGTCTGTTGGGGGATGGGCCCTCTGCTCAGAACACTAGAAAGGAACGGACTAAGCAAAGGTGGTACAAACACATTGAACTTCTAGATGCATCCGCACCCCAGCCCAACCCAAGTTAGCCTGTCAAACAGTCTCTCGTCTTCATTCCTCAGTCTTCCGTCTCCATGAGGCAAAGGGGTGCTCTCCTAAGGAGTTACATTCTGAGGCTGTAAATGCCCCCCCCAAAGGCAGTTACCCCGCGACAGGGCAGTGAGAGCGTAGGAAGCTAGAAAGGGCAGGAAACAGCCCAGTGGGTGACCTGAGGACCCGCTAACCCCGGAAGACTGAGTACCGAGCAGGATGCCCAGCCAAGCATCTCGCTGGGGCGCACGACGGTCACCACGCTGGTGGCTGAGATAGAGAAGACGCTTGGTGCCCAGCACCTTTCTGAGCATCCCGCTCCGGTGTGAGCATCCCGCTCCGGTGTGAGCATCCCGCTCCGGTGTGAGCATCCCGCTCCGGTGTGAGCTTCCCGCTCCGGTGTGAGCTTCCCGCTCCGGTGTGAGCTTCCCGCTCCGGTGTGAGCATCCCACTCCGGTGTGAGCTTCACCCGCTACCGTGTGTGAGCTTCCCGCCCCGGTGTGAGCTTCGCCCGCTACCGTGTGTGAAGTGGAGCCGTGAGAGCTTCCCCTGCTGCCGGGCTCTGTGGCTCATTCATTCCCCAGTCTCTGAACATGTAAGAGGCACCTCTACGGGCTGGAGAGATGGCTCTGTGGTTAAGAGCACTGGCTGCTCTTCCGGAGGTCCTGAGTTCATATTCCCAGCAACCACATGGTGGCTCACAGCCACCTGTAAAGAGATCTGGTCTGCAGGCAGATGTGCAGAATACTATACACATAATAAATACATAAATTTTTTTTGGTTTTTCGAGACAAGGTTTCTCTGTGGCTTTGGAGGCTGTCCTGGAACTCGCTCTGTGGACCAGGCTGGTCTCGAACTCACAGAGATCCAACTGCCTCTGCCTCCCGAGTGCTGGGATTAAAGGCGAGCGCCACCAACGCCCGGCTACATAAATATTTTTAAAATGCCCACCTCCACATACCTAGAACATAGCTCTGGACATGAGCTATTCAGTTGTGTGCAGTTAGGAGGCCTATGTGCTCCTGAGGTTTGTCATCTGGTAAGAGGGATGCTCAGCAAGTGGGACTTAGCCATTCTTACCATGGGGAAGATGCTTGGTGGGACCGACCGCCTTTGGCAAGTGGGAGAAGCTATTTTATCTTCGGTG